TTCAGGCTCCATTTCCCGCAGACAGATCGCGCTGCACAGAAACCGTTGAAAGATGGTGCCAAAGGTGAACGGAAACAAAGGGATTTCTGGGATGCGAAGGGATGCATCACGGGGCGTTGGGACAGGACCCAGAATGCCCCGCACCCACGCCCCCTTCCCACAGCGCCAGAATGGGAAGAGGTGCTCTGTGGGATAGCTGCCCATAATGCACCGCTCCCAATAGCGCTGCAATTGCCGCAAATGTGGCCATGACAGTGCGTTGGGCAGCTGTCAGTGTGGACAGACTGCAGCGCTTTCCCTACTCAGCTGCACAAAGTCAGGTTTAACTCACAGCGCTGTACATTTGGAAGTGTAGCCAAGGCCAAAATGTCTTGAGACCCTTAACCAAACTCTAGTGTCCCTTCGTGCAATCAGTGGAGAATATCTAAAGCCCTTTTCATAGCAGATTCTCGACAAATTAGCTTTCTTCAAGTTTGTCATACAATTAAGTCATATTGTATGGATTTTGCCTTAAATTGTGAAGGCGAAATGGATTGTAATAGTGTGATCTTTTTTTAAAAAGATCAGTCTCACAAGTCGACAACAAGTATTGATTCTACTGTAAGTTTCTGCAGTCTGAGGCACACACATGATAATATTCTATCAAAAGGAATGCTAACTTCTTGGTAATGATGCAGAATTTGAACAAAAGTTCCTCAGAGTAGGAAACTGCACAGAATATCTGTTCACAAATAATTAACGCATACTAGAGGAGTTGGGCATCCTAAACACTAAGATGAATCTCAGTTCTTCTCAATGCTACAGTTGATTGCACTTTGCAGTGCAGACAGCCATGTAAATTTATCATCTTCATCCTCTATAGAACAAATCCATTGGCGTTTTGGGCCTTGTAGAATAAATGCATTCTTGATATCTGTTAGTGTGTAAAAAAAAGAAAAAGGCTTTAGTGTATTAACGGCTCTTGACCAATAGGTTATCTAAGGAATAGGTGGTAGAGTTTCATAGAATCTTGCAAATATCTTTACTCTTAAATTCTGACTTCCAATGGTTTAAGGACATAATGAATAGCAAAAAAATACTTCTGCTTGTCTGATTTAAGAGTATGTGGGACTGGTCATATGGGAAGCCCATAGAATACAGCCCACAAAGTGAGGTAGATATCACAGGGGAGACACTGGACAGTGTTAAGTTATGTTTTTAGGCATGTTTGCTAAAAGTTTGAAATCTAAGTATATGCTGACCGTCAACCCTACCTTTTCCTAAACTGGTGTATAGACATAGCTCCAGTGACCTGCACGGGGCTCTCTGAGGGAGCTATGCTAACTTAATCTAGCTATGGATTCTGGTCTTCTCAGATTAAGATTTTTTTTTTAAATCTGCTGGTTGCTTAGGCTCTTGAGGATGGGGAAAAGCAGACAGAAGCTGCTAAGCATTTCACTATGGGTAGGGATTGGGAGGGGTATGGAGGGGCATTGCCTCCCCAAACTAGATACATCGCAGACGTGACGCATGGTGGGGGGGGGGGCCGTCAGATTTTTTTCTCCCTTCTATTTGGCCCTGCTTCTTCCGTGCGGAGCAATGTTCGGGGGAAGAGGGGCAAGCAGTGACATTAGGCACTGTCCAGGTCCGTTTCCTCACATAGGCTGCGTAAGGGGAGGACAGCAGAGCTTCAGCTTGGAGCCATTTCAGTTTTACTAGCCCGTAAAATAAGAGACTTGCCTCAGAAACACAGGTGTCTAGACATTCTAATCAGCACCGGTAACACTGTAGCAAGTGAAGATAAGATCAGAGCTGCTTCCCAAGGGTCTGTGCAGTGTATAGCACTGACTGTGTCAAGCCCAGGTGAGTGACAAAGTGAACAAGGAAGGTTAAATGTGAGTGGAATGTGCTCAAGCAGCCGGGCAAAGGGGACGGGCTTTAGCCATGGATTTGTGTGTGTGCATTGCATGTTTAGGTATCTCTAAAACCAAGGAGACCTGATTCATAGTTACATGAAAGTGCTTGGTTCTGTTTATTCAAGAATTTGTTTTTATGTTAATATTGATTTTTGTAAGTGGTAAACATACTGCAAATAAATTGAAACAAAAAATTAAGGGTGATTAAATAATTAACATAAACTGAGTGTGTGGTCCCCACCCCCAAATATAGAAGTCAAACTATGTCTCTGCATTTCACTAACATAATCCAGATTGTTTGAAGTATGCACTGCTGGTGTTAAATTGCTTTGTAGGCTATTGGATTTATAATGTTTTTGGCAGATGTAACCGTGCACGCCTGGTGCTGACGTTTATCTATGGGCACTCCAGGTATTTGCTTTATCAGGCTTGAGAAATCCCCTCTCATTTAAAAATAGACACAGGAAGCCGGGGGAGAGGTTTTCCTGATGCATACAACTCCTTACAACACTCATTAATGTTAATGAAAGGTAAGCATGCATCAAGAGGATTCCCTGTATAGGGACTGATTAGCCCAGTTGCTTGTTTATGCGGAGTTCAAAATATTATTCCCCCCACTTGTCTGGTAAACAACCCTTTCTTCATTGTTTCAAGTACAGCTTTAATTAATATAGGTGTTAAGTAAAAGCTGCTTTTGCTAAACAAAAGGTGAGAGGAATTGATTTGATTAAGAACGAATTCAGATATTTCATTATGGTTGAATGGGGAAAGGATCAAACTTGAATATTTTTTTCAGGTACTAGAGTAAAATTCAGCCAAAATGTCCGGATATCAGAAATAGTTATCGAATAGTGAAAGCTTTTAGATTGTGTAATGAGAGCAATCCACCTGCTGACAGGGGAGCTCAAGGAAGAACAATGGAAGGGTTAGTTCTGAAGGGTGCCCTAATTAGTGCTGTGTGAATAACAGATGTTTTGGTTTGCTGGCAATTCTGAAAAATGTGTGGAAAAAGTAGTTTGGGGGTCAAACTAAAATCTGTTTTAAAAAGGGTCAGTGAATCGAAACCTAAAAAGATTGTTTTGGACCAAATGAGATGTTCTGCTTAAGCGGAAACAAAACATTAAAATTCTTGAATCTTTTTAATTTTTAAATAAAATGAAGTAAATTTTGAAAATCATTTTGAATAAAAAATTAAAACATTTATTTCTGAAAATGTCAACAGAACACTTCAATTTTTTCAGATTTTTTTAGGCTTTGTCATCCAAAACAGTGCGGGAAAATTGACACAAATTCACAAAATGTTTTGGTGTCAATGAGTCTGTATTTTTTGCTGAAAAAGTTAGCGTCGAAAAAACTTCCAGCTGTAGTCCTAATGGTGGGACTATCTCTGAAGTCTAAAGCCTCTGGAGCCTCAAGGAGGGAGGGAGAGAGAGAAGAAAAACACAGCTGCAGGGTGCATTCTGCAAACCCTGTTACTCATATTCTTCTGCCTGCTAAATTACAGAAAGACTTTAGGCAAGCTTGTGTTCTATTCTCTGTTCTATATCTCCTTTGCATTCAGGGTCCCATGAAAAGGCACGAGTCCCTACTGACTGCTGGAAAATACTGGTAATAGTAATTTGGAAGTTAAAGTAAGCAGGCCTGGGAGTTAAGCTGATTTACTGCCTTGCACTAGGACAGTGGCAGAATGCAAATATTGCTGTCTTCCATTGACATATGCTGGCTTTTGCTTCAGCTCTTGCCCTTCCGTGGGTGGATGATGATGATAGCCTCCGGCGTAAGTGAGGCCAGGGGTTTTAATAGTTTAAAACACATGTGCACACAGTGTTATCCATATGGGATATGGGGAGGAGGGGGTAAGAAACCATGCAAGGATAGGTCTGCACTAGAGTTTTTAACTTAATTTCCAATTAACTGAAATTAGTCTGTTTGCACGTGGCAGTCGGGACACTTCACAAATGCTTGTTCCAGGATGCACACACTTTTGGTTTACCCTGCGCTCCATGCTTGTGGCTCTTCCACACTAACATGTACAAACGTGTTAGTTAACTCAAGTCATTTGGCAATCAAATGGAATTTAAAAAAATAAACAAAACTCCAGTGTAGACAGACCCTAAGCCAGAACTCTGTAATGATCAGAACTACTCAACATGGATGGGTCTGAATAAGGGGTAATAATTACCTGAAGTGTAGTGTTAACTGAACTTGTGTATGGTGATTTAGTCCATCTATTTTTGGAAAACACTAAAGAACTGTAGGTTGGTACCTTACAGCCTTACACTTCATCCACATAAATACAAATGGCCCATCGTCATGCTTACATTACTTCTTATGTAGGTCAAATTCAACTACAATAAAACAAACTAACAGCAGATTATAGCCCACAGAATGGAACATTCTAAACCGACATTATTGATCACTGGAGGAATGTTATAAAACATACATTTTGAACATGGAATGTCTTCTACAACAAGCCTGTGAAGAGCTACTGATGCCAAGAACTGGTAAGTTGTTTTCGGAGTCCGTTCAAACGGCACATAAGAGATGCTACGGTTTGAAATAACAAGTGCATCGTTGAAGAGAAAAAGGCTAAGATCGCTGATGTGTTCATAGAGCCTGCCAAAAGGGAAAAACAATTACTTGTATGCTTTAAACTTCAAGGCACGTGAAAATCTATAAGAGGCTTCTGAGAATTGGTGTAGCTACATCGGAGTTATCCAGTACTTCTACAATATATTAATATCAGTATGTTTTCCCTGTCTTTTAAGTTAAAATAATTGTGAAGGGGCCAGTAACATAGGGAAGATGATCTGACCTTGGAAATGAAAGTGGTGATGATGGAATCTTTAAATTCTGTATTATATTAATTTACATTGCAAGTAAAATACATGTAGGGCTACAATTACAACTTTGGGTTCTGGTGATACCAAACACTCGCACTTCATTCTCATCACTGGTTATAAGAATCCCTTAAGCTGCAGCTAATAGAGTTGGGGGATACATAATGTTTTTGACAATCCACAGAGGCTTCAAATTTTCTAGTCTTGCTTCATTCAATTTTGGTTTTTAATTTAAGTTAATGACTTTCAGGTGAACTGAGAATCAAATTAGAACTTCCAGCATTTGGGAAGTGGCTGTTCCTTTATACCAAAGTTGTTTGGCTGCTTTGTACTGTTAACTGTAAAGAGTTGGAATTTGAGTTGTCCTTTGCCCTGTTTTCAATAGAATTGTGGCTTCACTACAACTAGTTTTCTCTTCTCATCAAGACTGAGACCTTCTACCTTCTATTCTTGGTACTGCCAGCCTGTTGCAGGTGTTCAAAACTTGTAAAATTTTAGATCTAATATCACCCGTCTCTTAATTTCAGGACACATTTTTGTGGCTCCTCAGTTCTGGAACTAAGCTATTTAAATTGTATTTTCCCCTCACCCATGCCAGGTTTTGAACTTTCCTTTAGATGTCTTCTGTTTACACTCTAGTTTTAAACATTGTAATTTAGAAGAATTACGAGCAGGAAAATTCTTCTGCCATTCATACGGTATTCAGCTCCAGTCATAGTTGCAATATTATTGCATATTCCTGTATGGTGAAGCAGAAGAAGCTTGTTTGTAGGAGGCAGGCTCTTACTAAAACACACATCTGAAATAGCAGCAAAAGATGCAGAAAATGACCAGCCAAGTGAATTGTTTTTTGTAGACTTTTCTCAGTTTTGCACCAGCATGAAAACTTCTTTAAATATGGAGCTGATTATTTTTTCTAACTTTTACAGATGATAGAGAGATGACAGGTTCTGGTTCCTCTGCTGGAAATCAAAAATTGAAGCTGGAAACATAGACACATCTAAGTAGTGGTATCATCACTCTGGTCAATTAATTTCTATCTCCACAGTTGAGACAAAAAAAGAACCTGTCGGAAGAGATGGGTGCTACCAGATAAAGAAATTTGAAGGCAGTTTATTCTTTAATTACTTTGGCCTTCAGCCTTGTAGGCACACTACCTTGTGCTTGAACCTGATAATTATCCAACCTGAATATTATCTAATATTATGTTAATTTAATGCTGCCTTAGAGCTCACAAAAGGAAAACAAGAAGAATGCAATTTGCTACCCACCTCCCACAGGAAGTTGATGGAGGTGAGATATGACCACTTAATGCTAATGACTGATCTCTCGTCAGTGCTCCAGAGGAATATGTAATTCCACTTGATTCTTTCGATTCCAAAATTTCCTCAGGGCACAGTGGCAAGGACCTGGGACAACTTCTTTCCAACTCTAAATTAGCAACCAGTCACCTGTGAGATCTAGTTTTGTGTTTATCACTCCCCCCTTTGGTATTTTTTAGTATGTTTGTTTACCTGAATGAAACACAGATTTCCTCAGAACAGCAGCTAAACTGGGTTACATCTTGTATTCTAATCAGGTACCTGTTGGCTTCTAATAAATTCTGTGAATTAAACATTACAGGATTAAAAGACATGGAAACCAAATTTTGGTTATAAAGTTTATCCTGATATGTTAATTACAAGATTAAGTCACAATAGACTGACAATGAAAGAATATGAAGTTATTTTTTTGTTTGTTTTTATTAATTAGGCCTCCTTTTGTGGCCAGAATTTTGATTTGGGTAGTGCCTCTAAAATGGATTAATACTATCAGATATCTTTTGGTTATTTACCAGATACAGAAAAAAATAATTCTGCAAATTGTGGCTTCTCCTGAAATGCATCTCAACTGAAGTAGACATTGACATGGCTGAGTGAGTCACCACTTGGCTTCCACTTTTTAGCACATTTAATTACGCAAATGTTGCAGGTAGGGCTGGCTGAAAATTTTCTGTCCACTAATTTTCAACAAAGTTTTTTTTTCAGGTTTTTTTTCATGTCTGCTTTCCACAGAAAATCTCAATTTTTCATCAAACACCCAAAAACTGAAATATTTTGAGCCCAAAACCAAAATAATTTGGACATCCTGCTGTGGTGCCTCATGAAACTTGTACTTTGATTTCCTTATATCCCCATTCTCTTTTGTATGGGCTGTCCTCCACTGCAGCCTACATCTCCCATGGAGTACTACAGCTAGGGACTCCCATGATGTTACCCTCTCCTTATGCCCTGAGGGGAGACTGATGGGAGATATAGTCTGGCCAAGGAGCTTGGCCTATAAAGGAAATTCTTGCATGTAAATTTTCATTCTAGGATTCTCCATGTGCTCAGCCCCTAGTTGGCGTGGAGATGGGGAATGTCCTACTGTAAAGTGACTGAGCACATCTTTGCTCTGAGCCTGGGCTACCCCTTAAGAAGAACTCCCCAGGATGATAACTTCCAGTGCTGAAAAATGCTACCTATACCAAAGTGTGAAAGTGCTGTTCAACTCAAACCATGTGCAGCAGAGCTTTTACATGAAAGTTAGGGATATCCTGGAGGAAACACCTCTTCCCTTTCAAAGTACTTAACAAGCAAGCAATAGGAAGAAAAAAAAAATGGACATAATGCTGTTCTCCAAAGGGGGCATCTAGCTGTCTGGCGTGAAAGGTCCTAGAATGAAAATGCACAGGTAAGATGGAATTGTCCCTGTCTGTCCCCCTCCATGTCAAACAGCCTTCACAGTGGCATGCAGAAAGCAGCAAGTTATCCCTCGGGAGGAGGAAGGATTCAATTTACCTGTATAGAATTGAAAAGGAGCTTAAGGATTATTAGTGCACCGCATTCAATAACACCAAACACTGAGAGCCTGGGTGAGGGGGTTGACTCTGCAGTGCTTGATAAAGATGGAAGATCTTGTAGGAGCTTAACAGACCTCCCCATTTGATGTGTGACCTCACTTGCCCACAAAATTGCAGCTCTTTTCAGAAAATGCATAGTAACTAGAGGAATTGTAGCTGAGGCTTGTATGCCTCTGCCATATACACCTTTGTTCCTCTGTAAGTTCTGTTCACAACTAACTTATGCACTTCTACTTAGGATGCTTGGATTCAACCGGGAGGGCAACAATATCACTCCCTATTATCTGAGGAAGACTGTGGTGACGTTGGGAATGGAGGCCTGCTTAGTTCACACAACTACCGTGTTTGATAGAACATGGAACTGAAGTTTCATTGAGAATATGCAAGTCTCTGAAACCCTTTTGGAGAAGGAGGTGGTGAGTAGGCAAGAGCCTTTCAGTGAAAAGAGAGGCCTGGCAACTGTGATTGAACAGTAGTTTTATTCAAACTTGTAGCACACAGATCAAGATCAGTACAGGAATCTGCATGTTGCCAAAGGACTGATAAGAGCGGCGGTTCTCCTGAATCTTATGTAACGATGAGGCAACGTTCTCCTGGGTTTCTTATAGTGCAATATGCTTCTAGTCTCTGACCTATGTTTCCAAAAATTATTGGCCTAGCGCCCTGTGTGTGAGCCTTCTTGTAAAAACATTAGAATGTGCTATGCTTCAGCTGACTTTGCCCTGATTTGTGTCTTCTAACACCAACATCTAATCCTCATTAACACATAGATATTTTGTGATTTTTTTTTTCTTCAATATTCTAGGAGGGTGATTATCACCTTAGAATGAGTGATACTAGTTGCAGCCTCTCAGGTTCGCAGCTGATGGGTTAGTCAGCAATGGATATTGGGTCACGATAGGTCCTCATTACACTACGTTTTGTGTTTTTGAAGTTTAAGGAGGTTCCAGTTGCATCTAAATCAGGTCTGAGAGCCAAGACCTGAGGTTAATTAGAAGGTGATTACAATCACTGTGGTCTGTTCCTTTACAATTTTCTTTACCATCTGTACTCAGTGGTTGGGGGCGGAGGAGGCATACAGGCCTTTTAGCCCTCTTGGTGACCAGACTCCAATTCCTCATGTACCACCTCTTGTTTTTTCCAACTGGACTTGAGGAACCTATTTTCTTTCAAGAGGCTTTCAACCCGGTCTGTGATGCACATAATGTGCATTCCCTTGATTTTAAGTGTCTTGATGAGCTGGTCAGCCATGACTTTCCTTTTTGCGTGCAGAATCCTGAGGACTAGAGTGAGAGCTTCTGCCCAGGACATGAACAAGGTTGCTTCTCAAAGCAGTGCTGAAGGTTTTCTGCCTTCTTATCAGTTTTATATACACACCATGTTTCTGAAGAATCATCTGTGGGAAGTGGACCATCAAGCTCATTCTTCCATAACATGAGACAGGTTATACTACTCCATGTCTCCTCCTTTGGCCACACCTCCCCAACTCATGTAGAAGTCCAGATATGTTTCCCCCTATATGGAGTCTGATATCTGTATCTGGACCTGACATCAACTAACTATTAAATAATATTGAGAATGAGTTCACCAAGAGATCTAGAACTGGATCTGGATCAAGATCTTTATATACTAATTTGCTTCCAGCCAACAATTGCAACAAAGAAAGAATTGTGCTGGGTATTCATGAGACCAGTTAGTTCAGTAGTTGAGTCAGAAACTTTTAGCTCTGATTTGCCAAGCACCCCTCCTATTTTCTCCTGTCTCTCTTCTGAAATAAAGATTGTCTTGGATGATAGCTTAGATATTAGAGTTTTGCGATGGCTGTAATTGGCCTTTCCACTTGTTCACACAGACATGTTGAGTGATGGCTGCTGGGCCTTGTATAACCTGATGAGGTCATTGGACCAGAGTATACATGGAGAGGGATGATACGGCATTTGTGAATACCTCTGGAGAAGTTACAAGTCCAAAAAGGAAGTACTCTGTATTTATCTTCTTATGGACTTGAGGTCTTAAGTGGACTGCATGCCATTGTTGCTCTTTGTACTACAAAGAATCTTGTACCCATACCAAAATGTTTCTGTGGCACTGGTTCTATCATTCCAATGTATATGAACTATTATGTACTTAATTTTCTGATGCTGCAAGGGGTCTTGTTGATAAGGTTGGTTTATTTTAATTTACTATGGGGAAAGGATAAATTTATGCCGGGACAGTGAATGATTTTTAATGCATATCCTTCCCTGATTATCTTAAGCACCCATTTTCTGAGGTGGTCCACTCCCAGATGAGGGACTACTCTGAAGTGCAGCTCTAGGGTGGATGGGGTATATGCCCAGACTTGGGAAACCCCAAAAATTAGAGGTTTCAGAGTAGCAGCCGTGTTAGTCTGTATCCGCAAAAAGAACAGGAGTACTTGTGGCACCTTAGAGACTAATAAATTTGTTAGTCCCTAAGGTGCCACAAGTACTCCTGTTCTTTTTCCCAAAAATTAGAAGCTCTTGGGGTTAGATTGTTTTGCAGAGAACCTCCTAGCCTTGGTCTTCCAACTCTTAGGAAAGATAGCAATGGTCTAATCTGTAATCTCTACACTGGAACCTGGAGAAGCAGCAGTTTCAAAGGGAACACCTGCTGGGATAAGGTGGTATCATGGTTAGAGGCAGTTACTCCTCTGTCCCCTTCCTGGTGTCTCTGAATCCATTCCCTCAGGTGTCAGGCCTCGTGCCTTTACCTACCCGGGAGTGGAATTCCACACTTCTCCTGTTCTTAGGCTGGCCCCGGGGCTACTATATTCTGTGAATCCACTGTTCTTACCCAGCAGGTTCAACTGGGTTCAGCACCTGCAGTTCTTCCTTTTGGCAGTATATGACCAGTGGTATATAGTGACCACTCCTCCCCTCCCCTTTAAAACCAAAGTATTGTTTGTAGTAAGGGTAGGAACAAGAGGATTTTAAAACTGTCTACAGCAGGGATCGGAAACCTTTGACCCGTGGCCCGCCAGGGTAAGCACGGCGGGCCAGGACAGTTTGTTTACCTGCTGCATCTGCAGGTTCGGCTGATCGCGGCTCCCACTGGCCACGGTTCGCCGCTCCAGGCCAATGGGGGCTGCGGGAAGCGGCGCGGGCCGAGAGACATGCTGGCCGCGGCTTCCCACAGCTCCTATTGGCCTGGAGCGGTGAACCGCGGCCAGTGGGATCCGCAATCGGCCGAACCTGTGGATGCGGCAGGTAAACAAACCGGCCTGGCCTGTGGTTACCCTGGCGGGCCACGTGCCAAAGGTTGCCGATCCCTGGTCTACAGTCATGTCTCTTAAAGGCTTTTTTTATATATATAGTAATCTGGGCGGGTCTAACTTTTTGAGACGCCTCAGTCATGTTTTCCCCCAAACTCCTCCCTCTCTTGAGTCTTTCATTTTAAACCTGCCACAGTTCTTTTGATCTTCTGGTTTCCAGGCTTTACCTGTCCTAGCATTGTCTCTTAACTATGGAGTGTTTGCTGAGAAATGGCTTATCTTGAGTCGTCATTCTTCCCTTCCTGCTTTTTACTTTACAGACACTATTAAACTAAATAAATATATTCATACAATAAACACCCCACTAACCAGGTCAATATACTATATTTATAAATCATTACAGAGCAGCTCCAATTCCCTCACAGGTACTTTGAAGATTGAGCCTAGACCTCCCCAAGAAAAGACTGCAGCCAATACTCTCAGGGCTGAGACTGCTGTATCTACATTCAGTAGAAGTGATTATCTTATTCTCTTGTCTGTGGGTTTGGCTGTCTGAGAAAATTCCCTCAGCTGGTATGACTATGCCTTTTACTAAGGAGGCCACAGCAGGCTGAACCTCAGGCAAAGTAATGAAGTCTGTAAATACAAGTAGGTCTTGATAAGGAATTTCCAATCCACCTTAATCATACCCTCATAAACAGATGAGGAAGAATTACGCAGCTCTCCCTCAACTTTGCAAGGTTGTTTTTTTTGTTGGTGGCGGTGGTACTGCTTCATTTTCTAAAAACACCAAGACCCATGAAGTGAGAGCGCCCTTTGTACTCAGTTCTGGGAAGGTTAATTGACTGAGGTTTCTTGCTTAAAGCCCCAGTTTGAGATTTCTTCTCTTTAGAGGATCTAGAAGGGAGACTTTCATGAGAGGTTTTAAAAGTTTGTGCTATCCCTTTAAAAGCTGATTGTGAGCACTGTCCTTCACCACTCCCTGGCCCAAACCTTTCAGAAAAGTGGGGAGAGGTCTTGCCCTCTGTATCCTTATAAGACCCCTTCCCAGTTTTCTCAGGAGGTTGGGCCAGGGAGTGGTAAAGGACAGTCTGCATGCCTCCCTGAGGAGAACAGTATCCACTTTGACCTCTTGTTCGGGTCACTGGAGGCTTGATGGAGAGAGGAGGTATGCCCATCTCCCAGGGCAGGGGATCTGAATCACTTCACCCATATTCCCTGCAGTTGGGTTCGGGCTGAGGGGGGACTAACTGCATAGAATGATGAGTGAGGCAGAGCCATTGGAGACAAATGACTCATTGATATCAGGTCACAGGAGCATAGCAACTAAGGCCTTATAGGTACAACAGCTTGTGGGAAGGGAGGATGCTTTGCAGCCATCTCAGCGTGGACCTTTGTATTTTGCCAGCTGAGAGCAGGAATTTATTCCTCCAACTTTGCCTTCCCCTGGGACTCAAGAGATTCCACTGGACCTTTTCTGCTTGTTCTTCAAGCTGTGGGGAATAGGGCTCCTATGCCTAGGAGAGATGCAGGGAGGCTTTGAAAAACCACTCCTTAGTTCTGTCACTGATTCTGGCCTGATCTCCATATAGGGAGCTTCCATTCATCCTGCTCAACTGTCTTGGCCTGGACCTCACCCCTATGTCAGCTGGGAGCTGGGTTTTGCTGCAGCCTGCTGTCTGTCCCCCCTTCTGAGGGTGGAGGGGGAGGAAAGGTGCAATTCTTGAAACGCTCCTTACAAGCCCCAATCTCTTTAATTTTGCAGTTTGTGGAGGAGAAAAACATTTAAAGCCAATGAAGAAACAGACACTTAGTTAAAAACTGTTTAGAAATCCTGTAAAAGCGGCGCTCCAAGGGGAGTCTTGGAGCCTGCCGTGGACACTGCTTGGAGAGACTGAATTCTGGGGCGTTCTTCCCGAGGAATGGTCCTAAGCCCTGCCTCAGAGCAAAGGTCTGCCTTAGTTTCCAACCAGAGAGGGCCACGAAAAGCCTCTGAAAATGTCATATTTGTAAAACTCATTTGCAAATAGATTATGCATGTGGAATTATATATACACCTCAGATAAAATTAGACCCCCATTGAAGTAAAGTAAATAGAATTTTGGCATTGCCTAATAATGGAAGGACTACCTAAATCTGAACTCACAGCGGAGTAGGTGCTGTTGTAAATCAGAGCTGAAATTAAATGCATTTAAGTGTTTGAAAGGAAAATGAAGTACTTACAGGACATCCCTGGATGATTCTTTGTGCATTTAGCATTTGCTCATCTTTGCTCATGTTCAATTTTAGCTAGAAAATAAACTAAAATTAGACCACAAATAACTTCACAAAGGTTGGGAAAGGAGGAGATTGTGTTCTATGTAAGGGTCTTATCTAAATCTCTCAGAAGTCAATGGAAAAACTCCGACTGACTTCAATGGGTTTTATATGAGACCCTAATTTATTCGTGGGCAATTCTAGATGGTACAGTGATATTTGAGTTAGACAGCAATTTGATTAAACTAAATTTACCTCCATGACTTTTGAAAATAACTTGTGTAAAATCTCTAAGGAAAAATAAAGAGTTTGACAAAATCCTCATGATTGAACTCATGTGTTGTGTGTGTAGAGAGGTGTTTTGTTGGGGTTTTTTTGGGCACTTTCTTACAGAATAAATCTACCAGCTGGTGGGTGTTTTCTCATGCCTGATGAACCAGCTTAGCTTCTATTTCCATAGAAAATAGAGGATGAGAAGGAGTAAGGCTGTTGGTGTAGTTAGTATGGGCCATCCACCAAGGAAGAACAGTTGCAGTGCGTAGCACCCTAATCCCTATCACGTTCCAGCAGCACCTAACCATCTGAGAAAACCCCTCTTGTGTGTGGTATTCAACTGGGGACTCTGCCCATTTTATACTCTCTTTACACTGCTGTGCGAAGAACCACTGGATATAATTGGGACTTTGAAAATGTCTTGGCTTCTACCAAGTCCCTCAGAAAGGACTATAAAGAAACTTGGGTCATGAGGAGAGAATAGAGTTCACAGGACTGCCCTATGCCTCCTCCTGGCTTTGGGACTGGAGAGGGAAGCAGCTCTTCCCAGCAAAGGTACCTGAGATGGAAGGCAACTCATGGCCTAATTCTCTCCTAAATCTCCTGGCTCCTTGTGGATGCCTCCTAAGACAAGGCAAGAATACCACACTGAAAGGAGAGAACAGAGACAACTGTGGTGACAAACCTGATCTATGTATTCCTTGTATTGTTTCATCATCTTGATTGCGGCAGTCAAATCTTCACGGTCAGCGTGTTCTGAAGGAGTGTGCAGTCTCAGAGCATAAAGAAGATTAAGATACTCTTCAAACCTTTTAGAAGGGCAGAGCAGCAGCTCCTGTAGGCTATATTTCACATAGATATAATCCATTCGTTAGCTAGGAACCTAAGTAATTCAGTGATACATGTATTGTAGGTTATACAGTGTGACTTCTGATGCTTATGTACTGAGAGGGTCTTGGATCAAGTAGCAGCATGAAGCAATGTGCCAAACACGCACACATGGTGAGTCTGTCTACTAGTTTGAGAAGTCTGCTAATCAGTTAAATTTTTTCAAGTGTCTGGCTCTCAACTGCAAGAAATAACACAGCAATTGCTAACATTCCACGATGACACTGATTCAAAGCCAGAGTCCTTTTAATTAAAAATCTGACCAATCTGGTCTGACAAACTTCTTCATAGTTTATGATCACGTCCTTATGCTTTGGTAGAGAACCCATGTGGAAGGTAAGAGGAAAGTATAGAGCCTGGAAAATGTCATGAATACTGGATCCATTTAGTCCAAGAAGAATTACAACTGTACAAATGTGCTATGGGCCAACTCATAATCTCCTATGACTTGTGTATGTATTTGCTCTAACACTTCATTTAAATACTATTTTGTTTATACTGCTTTTAAAATTGAGTTGGGAGGGAAACGGGTTGGGATACTCACAGTGGACCTAATCCAAAGCCCAGAATTCTGATTTTATGCTATGTCACAGTGTGAATACCACAGACCTTACCTCATCATGTTAGTAACGACAGTCTTATCATGTCTTTTCAGGAAGGCACGGAATAAAGGAATGGTCTCTCTGCACTGTGAAAGGTAGAGGTTTGATCATCAATATAACTTGATTATTGGAGACCAGCCTACTGGAGATTTTTTTTCTTCCTACTGTCATTAAAATTATTTTTATAAAGATTTTTTTACATTCCCAACTGTAACAGAATTTAGTACAAATGTATCCTTTAAAGGGATATGTGATCCATCAAGAAGAGTAAATCAAAACTTTTAACATACCTCTCCCCAAAAACTATTTTTTTTTGGGGGGGGGGGGAGAAGAGGTCTTTTGGTAGTCTATCAACCCTCCAGAACAGTAACTGCAACAGTATTGAAATCCCTGTTCTCAGGCTGGGTGACCACCTAAACCTTAGAGAGAAAGTGAGTATAAATCTGCCTCGCTTGGCAGGAAGAAATGAGGATCATGAACTTGATGAGCATGGCTCTCCAAGCCGAAGTTCTCCAACTTGCAAAAATGGATTAAGCAAGGGAACAGTGAGACACGTATTCTGGCATCTATGCTCAAGCAAACCTTGTTCCCTGGGTTTTATCACCAAGGCTAGAGTTGGGGGTTAAATGGTGAAGTAGTAATAATTTTGAAGGATGATCTTTTTTACATTTAATGGCACATATTAAAATGAAAAGGGGGCATAAATGGCTGGTTATATGTTAGTTCTGCCAACATTAAGTGTCTCTGTAAACTCTAGCACACACTCTTGCTGGAATTATGTAATGTCTCTAAATGCATCCATTGCAGATTTACAGCAGGGCTAAACAAGAAAACTGGTGGCTACCAAGGTTCTATCTCTGTGCATGTGCCGTGCTGATGATGAAGGCATGCTGATTTTTTTTTTAATTGGGAGAGACAAATACTCCGAATGGCAGATTTATTCAGGCAAATTTAACCCTATAAAGACTTCAAAGAAGCAGAGGCTAATTGTCTTAATTAGACTATCATCCCCTTGATTTTCATGCAACTTTTGTAGTGTGACTGGTATTTTCCTGGGTTTTAGAATTTTCTGTATTTTGGCATGCCAAGAATATCAATATTGGAATGGATTCCATAAAAAGAAACATAATTCATTAAACTGAATTCTTATTCTCCCAAATTAAGTGTGAATATTAGCTTGCATTTCCAACAAAATAAATGTGAGCATTAGACTGGCATATTATGTAGTTTCACAGTCCTATAGAACTTACCATATCAATGGTTTTCAGAATGACAGTGTAGTTGTTGAAGAAGTTTGTGTATGTTTGAAGCTGCCAGCCAAATTGAGTGAATATTTCACCCAAGCACTGGGATGGACTCCATTCCTGAAGTCTTTCTGTCAGCTCATTTAAAAACTGCCTGCATTTGAAATAAACATAGAGAGATGTCTGTCTTTCCACAGTTTCCTGGCCAAATTACTGTTTAGATAACTACATTCTTTCTAGTGTTAAAAATAAACAAATCCCGCTCTAGTTTTCTCATTTTTGTCCTAGAGTGCTGTTTAGAGTTAATGTAAGCTGTTAAACAATTGCCATGTTTTCGTCCCAGAGCTGGCAGTTGAGTGATGTGAAGTGATTTCTGTATATCTTATAAAGTGCTTTGGGATCCATCTGGATGATAGTCACAATATAAATATAAGTTCTTTATCATTTAAATCTTAAAAATGTGGGTAACTTACAAAATCAGCCCTTTACTGTTTGAAAGATTGACAATGCTTACCTCTTTTAAGCTATCCAAAGTTTTGCGTAAGGAAATGCATATATTTTTTCACTGACAGTATATCTCTTTTCTCAGGTACTGATGCCCCAGTTCCAAGTAGCTACCATAGCACCAATGACTGTTAGACTGTTGTGTAATGTTGGCCTGGGGTCTATTGCTAATCGTCTGAATTACAACTAATATTTTTTTAAACTGCAGGAATGGGAAATGTACACATAGAACTTGCAAGGACAATAAAAACATGATTATGTTGATTTTTCTTTGTAAGATTAATCGTATCTAAATTCCTGGCATACATTATAAAATTTATTGTTAAAATCTGTACCTCTTGCATCAGTCTTGAACACTTTTAATCTAGGTTAATGGAACTATTTTTGGTACTTTTCCTTTGTTTCCTTTGTTTACTTAATACCTTGTCAGATGTTTGACAGATGTGTTCCAATGGGAGGGTGGGGTATTTTAGTTTTTTTACATTAAGAGTTCAAAGCTGAGGTACAGATTTTATTTATCCAAAGTTTAAAATAACTTTTCATCTTTTAACTATTTTTCAGTAACCAGATCTCCAGCTTACATTCTTGTGATGTCTTCCTTTTATTATGTAACCATGTTTTACTAAGTTCAGTTTTCCTTGCAGTCTGTTCCAAATCATGTTGCTTGTTTAATTCACTATTTATCCTAGTCTCTTCCTTTCTGTTTGTAGACTTGCAATAGTTGCCACTGAAACTGATTTTTTTTAAATGTTGCTAGAGTTGGGCATGAAGCAAAAACATGGAACTGATTCTGATCTGACCTTCATATTTCTATTGTGGGCAGAACCAAAAGTACAGTAAAGAAAATTCTTGAACTTCAGGATTCAGAATCCAGATCCAAAGTTTGGGGTGTCCAACTCTGACCCACTAGAGAGAGCTTTGAGCTATGAACTTTGATTGAGAACTACAGTTCTGGAGTTTAATTTGAGCCCCTCTCTAGACCATGATTCTGCAATCAGATTTATGCAGCGAACTCCTGTGCCAGTGCAGAGCCTCACTGACTTCAGTGGGGCTCTGTGCAGATGCAGGATCTGCTCACATATGATTGCAGGATCAGAACCATCATTATTACTGACATTTCAAGCATCTTAAAACTTCAAAGGGATATTTGTAGAACAAGATTCCAGTTTTTCATCCTGTATATTACCATCACTCTGACTAATGAATAATACCTAGCACTTACAAAGCATGATTTATTTATAGCTCTCAAAAGCCCTTTCAAATGTGATAAGTATAACTTCCAATTTAAGAAATAGGGGGAAACCAAGGCAGAGATTAAGTGAGTAGCCCAAGGTCACACCATAAGTCAGTGACAGAGCTGGGAATGCCCCCTAGACTCCTGACTCTTAATCAAGTATCCTGTTCTCTGGACTATGCTGCCTCCACAATCTATAACCCTTTTTTATCTTAGTACTGTGCTTTCTCATAGGATTGAGCATTTTCTCAACTGGCTCTAGACAGGCAGGATTTTATACTTTTGTATCATTCAGGGTGTAAAATCTACAGTAATTTCACCAAAACTGAAACACAATTTTAATTTTTCATGTTGATGGTCTGGTCATATTCTGCAAAGCCCCATATTATATGCCACCATTCACAGGTAGGGTCAGTAAATAACAGTACCGTTGTTTTCCAAAAGCATCTGCCTGAAAAGTCAACCAAGAGTGGCGGGATGGCAGCTAATTAAATCCTCTGCTTCAGTCAGGAATGTATTGTCCTATCCTAGACAATCTTTCTCTTCGTCACGGAACATTCACAGCTGCAACAGATGGCGATAACCCATGCAGCAACTGCACTGATTTGGCTTTTGTCTAACCCAAAATATTTAAAACTCTTAGTAAATTTAAAATTCAGCATATAGAATATACCGATTGAGTTGTAAGGCGTCCAAGATATCAGAGAAGATGATTTGAACATTAGCATGACTTAGGATGGCTCGATTTGATGCTAATGCTGCTTTCAGTGGTGTAACATAAACATCCCTCACAGTTTCCAGCATGTGTACATAGTTCTTCTCACTTGTCAGGAGTTCCCTGGCAATCCTAGTTCGTCTGTCTGCGGTATCCTTCTGAAGTTTTTTATCCTACAGTCAGAACATGGAGAGTAAATTAGCAGAGGTTATCTTTACAATAAAAAGCATGGGGCTGGAGGAGGACCAGAAAACAATGAAAAAGGGGCAGAACAGAATACCTGCTTGCACCATTGCAATACGACCTACTGGTTTTAATAGACCCAAGAAGAAAAACTATTGATGTTTATCAATAATTTTTCTCTGTACCTCTTCCTTGCCCAAATACACACATGTGCAAGTCCAACACACACAACAGCATCCCCCAAACAGTTACAATGTCTCCCTCCCCCACCCCAGGAGAGAGGGAGGGAAATACCCTTGTCAACACATTAATCTATATCCTAAACTGCAAGAAAGTTGGGTTTCATACATTTAATATTTTAAGATCCGCAGGGATCACTGTGATCATCTATAGAGCCCTGTGTGGATAAAAATTTATATCTGCGGATATAAATTGGTATCCATGGAACCCCGGGGCTCTCCTGGAAACCGACCACCGAAAGGAGCAGAACGTGGGGCTGCTGCTCCCAGAAGTCAGTGACCTGTGCCGACAGCTCCTCCGGTGCATCTGTACCACTCCCCAGCCCCGCCAGCAGCTGTCCCTGGTAACGCTCTTGTGTTCAAGCAGTGCACACGCTTCCAGACAGGAGACGCAGACAGCTGCGTGGAAGGGATGGGGCAGAGCTGGGGGTGGGGCTGTGGGTAGTACAGCCATGCTGGAGGAGCTGCCGGTGTGGGGCGCTGGCTCCTGGGAATGGCAGCAGCATGTTCTGCTCCTTTCACCACTGCAGTTCCCGGGAGAGCCCTGTGGGTCTGCAGATACCAATTTCTATCCGCAGATCTCCACATCTAGTCTCACCTCCTGTGTAACACAGCCCATTGAGCTTTCCCAGAATAATTCCTAGAGCAGAGCTTTTAGAAAAACATCCAGTCTAAGTTTGAAACCCTACTGACAATCCTGTCCACACTGCAGAATGAACTTTTTTAAAAAAAAATTCAAAATTGGTTCAGGGGAAAGCCTATGATTGAACACAGAGGCTAGACAGCACTGCTTGAGTAAAAGCTATTTTTCCCCTTCACCATTTTCCTGGTAGCTGAGGTTAAGGGTGAAATCCTGGTCCCATGACATCAACAGGAGTTTTTCAATTGACTTCAGTGGAGCTAAGAAAAGATTCTTGTTTATCTAGAAGCTTGATAATTCTCTTGATTACAGAACATAAACAAGACTAAGCTTTAACTCCAAAGAGGCAGAGGATGAACTATGTGTAAGGTACATGTATAGTCACAGCAACAATAACGTGAAGTGCTGCATCCCATTCTTAGGTCTGCTTGCAAACTATATTCCAACATCATTATGATTTTTGGACATCCACATAAGGGGTAAAAAATACTAGATACATTGTTTGTCCATATCTACTTTCCTGTAGGAAAGAAACTACAGGTCCAACATGTACATCACAGAAGACCATAAGGTATTTACGAATCATTGATTTCCTTACCAACTGAGCCACTGCCTCAAATGTTGGCTCATTTGCTCTGATGCTGCAGTTAGGCTTTTGGCTCAGGGTGGCAGCCTCTTTTGCATCCTCCTCCTGAGGATTAAACAGAAGCTTTTTTCCTACCCATCATTTGAAGGAATCACACTTAGCTTCTCCAGTTCTTTGCTGTTTTGTTCCCTTCTGCTCAGGTTTCCATAAAAAGATCATATCGTAGCGTACCAGGATTAGTATTCCATAGATAATTGGCACTATACCATCTATATAAGAAACATTAACTAGTGACACTATTTACTGTTTTATTGTTGAGTGTTTATGCTGTAACTCTGACATCATAATTTACATGAGCTTGACTTGACCGTGGGATCTCAGCTCAGGAGGGGGATATATTTTCAATTTCCCAAACAAAAAGCTCCATTCTTGCAGACTTACATGTGTGCATAACTTTCAGCACATGAGTATGCATGTTGACTTCCACAGGACTCCTCACGTGCTTTAAATTAAGCGTATGTGTAAGTCTTTATAGGGTCAGTGCCACGGTGGGACCATTATCACACACAGTGCACACAAAGTCTTTTTATAAATCCAGCCTGTAATTGGTGTGTGGTCAGAACTGCTGTGCCCAGGTGGACCCCACTGGTGTGGCTCCACAGGGCCCAGAGGTCTGCTCATGTGCAATGAATTGCAGGACTGGGGCCTTAGCTTGCTGTTTGCTGTTCTATGAAAGTTGTGTACTTTGCTATTCCCTGAGAACTAAACAATGAGGATTCCTGTAACTTTTAAAAAATCACATTTTTTTTGTGTATTTATTCTTGTGTTGCTCAACTGCTTTCAGGTAGCTGCATCCATACATTAAATGTTGGTGTTAGCAGTAATTTTTTAAAATAGGAAATATAGTGGTATTTAAAATATTTATTTTCATGTCAGGTTTTAAAATATATATATATATATATATATATATATTACAGAGAGAGAGAGAGATCTGCTGTTTAGTATTTGAAAAATCCGCTGTTGAACTTGATCAGTATAGTTTATGCACAAATGAAAAATCTAACTTCATAATGGCCAACTTCATGGGCTAACAGAAAGCTAAATATGTATTTATGTGATTGGTCATAACAGCTGATGACTCATTGGAAAATGTTATTAACTGCAGAAATCTTACTGCACGAAGACTATTCCTATGGGTAACAATCCCTTGAGATAACATACTTAAAGTTCTGCATCTCTATCATTAACATTAGATGTCTTTGATAATCATAACTTTGACAGGTAGTGTTTGATTCTAGCTATGAAAATCAAATTTAGCTTCCAGTGCTCAGGCCCCCTTTTCTCCAAGCAGTTTCTTGAGGATCTACATTTCTCTTACTTGGTTTATAAGCAGATTAAGCACTAGTTCAACCGGAGCAGTGGATTTATGATGCAGACTAATGTCTCATAGGGATGAAGATGAGGTCACCAAATGTATATTATTTTGTGACCTAAAACAGGAACTGACGCTAGACCTCAAGACTGGAAAGGTAAATGCATTAACCCACTGCAGTTACTAGCTAGTGAGCTGCACTGAAAGAGGTCACTGTTCCTTAATGAATGCACCAAGACTTGTCTTCTAGTCACCATCTGTCAAGATCAGTCTGCTAAGCTCTCTGTATTATACTTTCTCAGCAGGAAAAAATGTTGGAAATTCCAAAGGATTTTCCTAAGTAACCAAAAATAAAATTAAGATAAACATTATTCAAGGTCAAAATGGGTAAATTTCACACTAAAATGGGTTATCATGAGGTGCTTGTTGGATAGTGTGTTAATGGCTGCATCTTTATAAGCAACAGTGTGTGTGTTTATATAGGGATGAAGAGCCCCAAAGTCAAGACAGGTTGCAATTGGGGAGGAGATTCCGAATTTCAATCCCTGTGCTGATGGAGGCTGAAGATCTTGTAAATGCAAGTCTGGGTGGGCTGAAGGAGAGAGAGAAGGAGACTGGGGTTCATGCTGACTGATCCAGTGGATTTGACTTGTTTGTTAACAATTACAGCTTCCATACGGGATGAAGATAACTGGGTGTACAAATTTACCTTAATTGTGAGCTTAACTATAAAAAGTGAGTGAAGGTTCATAAAGTGTCACAATAACCTACAACCAAAAATGTTGATAGAAAAGGTGGAAAATTGAGACAGACTAAATTAGTCCAAATAAAAAGGCCTACTGATATAACTCAGTTAAGATCACGCCTGGTAAGCAAGGAGTAGAGGACTGGAAATCAATGGACCAAATCCTGACCAGACCAGGTCTAAGAGAGGGACCCAAGTGACACTGCTACTTTCCACTGGCTTTATCCCAACCCCACTTGAGATGTAAGACTTCATCCGCCAGCCCCTCATGTGTCTTTTTCCTTCTCTACCTTATTTCTTCTCTTTCCTCTCCCTCTCCTTTTTCCTTCTAATTAGAGTCTGGCTTAGCTGACCAAGACTGTATATTTTGCAACCCTGCTGTAAACCTGTGACCAGAAAGAGGCAGATAAAAGCAATCCCCTAAACAGCCCAGTCTGGTATAAGTTGATAGACAGTTTTCAAAGTGGCTGATTAGACCACGGGCTAAGCCTGTTTTTTTCCAGCAGTGAGGTTGCAAATGAAAATCTTCTCTCTCTGTGTTGCTGCAGTTTCTATTTTTGCTATTCTATTCTTCTCTCCCCTTAAATGTTCTTAAACCTGAAGAAATTTTATACAGACAGATCACATGTGTTGGAGACCCTCAAAAGCCAGCTGAAAAGGATCATTAAGAGCATTTAGTTTAAATCTTATTTCCTTTATGTCCTGCAATACCGCCAGTATTCACTCTAACATGACAACCAACTCCCTCCTGGAATATGCTGCTAGTAGGAGGGGTAATCAGATGCATTTCTGACTGTATGGCACAGTTTGGCAAAGGTTTTAATATTACCCTATTCAATTTGGAATGAAAAATAGTATTTAAACCCAACAACAGAACTTTTCAACACCCTGTACCTCTGCTCCTGTTTACAGGAGTGCAGGGGAAATTACTTAATAAATTCCAACATTCTTTTCCATCTGTGGCACGCTGTGCTGCAAAGCAGTACTCTGGAACACTCAGATTTACCATGGTGATATAATTATGATAGGTTTTGTACAAAGTATGCCTTGTTAAGTATCATTTTAGAAGTCTTGAGCTGCTGAACATTAATATCCTGTTGAATTGTATGTGCTGTCATTGTATGTGAAGTTATGAAGTTTTGCTATGTGTGTTACTGAAATATGTTGTGAGGTTGGGAACACCCACAACCAGCCTTTCAGGTGCAACAATGGAGCAGCCAGATGCTGCTGATGGCCCATTAAAGGAATCCACACTCACAACTATCCTAGGGACTGTATACAATGGAGACTTCTCAGAGAGAGCACCTAGACAATGAAGACTGCTTGACTCATAGCAAACTATAAAAGAGGGGAAGTGACATCACTTGGTCTCTCTGCCCCCCACAACTCAACACCTAGAAACACATCTGGAGAACAAAGATTGAACTGGGGAGATGGTCCCAGACTGGAAAGGAGAATCCCAGCTTGTGTTTGAAGGAACTATACTATCAGGGTGAGACACTGCTTGATTCAAATCCTGCCTAGTTTATAAAATACAGATTGCAATTTTATTTTTATTTCTTAGGTAACCAACTTTGATCTATACGCTTACTACTTAGAATGACTTAAAATCTTTCTATAGTTAATAAATCTGTTTTATATTGTACCTTAAACAGTGTGTTAACGTGCCTGGGAAATCTGCTCAGTGTACAAAAGCTGGTGCATGCCCTCTCCACATGGAGGGAGGGTGGACTGGGTAATAAACTTACACTGGTCAGGCTTCTGACCAGGACAGGATGGTACATCCCGAGGTCCTAGGCTAGGGAGCTGGGGGAATTGGCTGGAGCCTCTCTATTGTTCATGAATGACTAGGGGAAACATTCATGTAACTCAGATGGGTGCGTCCCTGCCTGTGGATGACTGTGTAAGTGCAGTACCTGGAGAGGTTTGCAGTTTTTCACAGCATTACAGTGTGCGAGGGATCCCGTGTTGGTAAGCCAGAGGGCTCAGTGGTACCCCAGTTCCAGGTTGCACTCTGGGAAATCCATCACACCGTCGTGACCTCTATTCACTCAGAACAATGCTCAGAATTGTCCTCGGTAGGAATCCCTCTCCTCTTCTCCATGCTGTGTTCTCTCGCCAGTGCAGAATGGCTTTTTAGTATTGGGAGATACGGGCTCCAATGTTGTTCCTTCCAGTATTTTGATCCTCATACTTATTTGGAGTGGCTGATTGACCAGGAAAATCTGAAGCACCATGCCAGTAGTTTTCCCATTCAGCATCCACTCTTAAAAGACCCGTTGCTAATTTGGACTCCAAACCAGGAAAAAGCATGCAGTGTCCATGCAACTACCCTGTTCAGAGCTATGGATGGTCACCTACCTATGTATTTGTGAGCTGATCCAGCATGTCAATAGGTATCTGAACTTAAAAAAAGCCTCAAATAAATATTCATCAAGCCTAATACAACAGTCATTGAAATGGGAAGAGATCTGCAAATAACCTTAAATACCACTTCATTTGCCTATTAAAAACCTAGCAATTTTACTTACAAAGCTTCTTTTTGACAGGTCAGCTAATCCGTCAGTGAAAGTCAGGGCTGTTTCTTGACTAGTATGTACTTTAGTTCTGCTCACGGCATCAAACATAACCTGACCTGAAAATACAAGATCTTTAATTGTAAGTTAGTCCTTCAAACAGATACTGTAAGCTTGCCTGATGATCATTAACAATAGTCACTATATTCTAGTCAGAGAAATAGGCAACCGCACATACAGGCTGACATTTTGTTGGGCATTCAAACAAAAGGGAGCTTGTCTACGCTGAGGTTTTTAGCCACTAGTCTACCTACAATGATGTAGCTGCACCAATGCCTTAAACACTGCAAAGACAAATCCGGTATAGGCAAGGTCAAAGTGTGTGTCTGCTCTGAAAAAGCCCTCTAGACATGGCATTGCCAGGTCTCACAATTTTGTCTGTCACACGATAGCAAATGTGCTCACTTTCTGGATTTAAAAATATATATTTTTTACTGCTAGCCCTGCAAACTCAGCCTGAGATCAGAGTCAAGCAGAGTCATTTCCTTGGTGGTATGCCAGTATAGGGAAATCTCAGACCTATGGCAGCGGGCTTGCCGACAGCAATTCCGGGCCCCAAGGCAGAACAGTCAAGGGGTTGCTGCGGCACGTCGTGCAGGGCAGGCTGCACCTGCGCTGGTTGGTGCCCAGCAAGCCGCTACCTGCTGCATTGCACATTCTTCCAGCATGGCCAGGGCTTCCACATGCCCGCCCGGTTGCCTTTGCCGCTGCCGGAACCACCCCGCACGTGCCTAGGAGCCCTGCGGCCCACCTGGCCAATTTAAAAGGGCCTGGGGCTCCTGGCCGCTGCCACCAAGAGCAGCAATTGCCCCCTTTGCCCCTTCCCACCCTCCCCCCGTCAGCGGGCCTGTATGCAGGAGCGGCGCCAGAGTTTTTGGTGCCCTAGGCGGGGGTCCTTCCGCGCTCCAAGTCTGTGGTGGCAATTCTGCGACGGGGGGGTCCTTCCGTGCTCCTGGTCTGTGGGGCACTTCGGCGGCAGGTCCTGGAGCAAGTGAAAGACCCGCTGCAGAATTGCCGCCGAAGACCCGGAGCGCGGAAGCCCCCGCCCCCCTGCCACTGAATTGCTGCCGAGGGCGGCAAAAGGCCGCCCCCCCCCAAAAAAAAATCCTGGCGCCCTAGGCAACCACCTAGGTCACCTAAATGGAAGTGCCAGTCTTGCCTGTATGGCGACTTTAAAGGATATTGTCTAAACACAGAGATTGGGGTCAGAAAACAACTTTGAGAGAGATTTTCTAGACACATTTAACGTAACCTTACCCTCTTCATGGAGATAGTTTACTGCTTGATAGTTTCTGAAACTAGTGTGTGCTGAAAGACATATCTTTAGGAGAAAACTAGGTTGCTCTATCAGTAACTGGAGTTCTTCCAATATAACATCTACAGATCCCCACAATGCTCTGGTTTTTGAGTGTTCATTCTGACAAGGCTTTTCTTGGGCATAGTCTTGGTTCGTAGTACACATGCATTGATACAGAAGGGGCCTAAGCTAGGCAAACTGCATTCAATGGTTCCTGGTCTGAGCATCTTAATGCAAGTGCAGAGGCCATATATTTGGACAATCACACTTATTACCAAATGACCTAGTTTGCTGATGGATATAATACTTTATTAAAAACTGAATAACTTTTTTAGCATTCTTTGTTTTGATCATGCAGATAACTCTTCCATTTATTTTCACTTTTGTGTTAGCTGACACAAGCATTGGAAGTATTCATTCTGCAGTAAGTTATTTTTAATACTTGTCATGTACAATGTGCATCACAGACCCAGAAGACAATGTTTGCCCATCAAAATAGATACAGGAGAAACGGGGAAAGGAAGAGACAAGTTCTAAAGTTGTGATGTTTCCATGAAAGTTGGGGAGAGAGGGGATTTCAAATGTTTTTCTAACCCTTTTATAAGTGTTTAGAAAAGGAAAAATTACCAATCTTACCAATAATCCTGTCACTAATACTCTTCTGCAGCTCACTTAAATATGGTCGCATCTGCTTCCGGACAGATTTCAGTGCCTCCTCCAGGAGCTCTGTCATTCTGAGCCATGTCTGTAGTTTTACTTCAGTGAAGTAGGTGGAGGTGGGAGGTCCATCCTTCTGTTTTCCCAGCCATTCACTAAGGACTGATATTTTTATGCTGGGTGTTAGGCAAAACCTCACTGAAACTGGTAGATGTAACCATTGTCCTTCATTCAGTATAAGTGTAAGAATAATCAAGCTCCTTTATGGAACATTTAGCTGAAATAATAGAACCCACAACCCAAAATGCAGGCACCCAGCAAGGCTTGAGTAGAAGTTAAACCGTGTAGCCTCAGGTGCGTCCTTGGAGACTGATATAGCAATGCAAGAGCTGGGTATTGATTTGGTAGAGCTGTGTGTCTGCAGCAGAAACACACAGAGGGAGTTAAGAAGACTGGATAGCATTAGACTGAGAAAAATATCTGAAAGTGTGAGCTTTTAAGCAGAGTACTGCCTGAAAGAGAGTTGGAACCGTGACCAAAGAAACTCTCTCCTGTTTGATTCCTACTATGTTCAGGAAAACAGGACTTTGTACATTCTTAGTAAACAAACAGGCCTGGATCAAAGAAATACCTGACTCCATCATCAATGTCTCTTCCTATCAGAAACAATATGCAAATCCCCAAATGTTGGCTAACCACTCTGGTCAAAAGTGGTCAAGTATCATGACAAATTAATTGTTTCCTGGTTTACTCTGCTGTAAATTCAGATAGTTTTGGGAATTCTGACTTTTATTAGTACTGCAATAAAATGTAATTGACACAACAGAGGACCCCTTTCAACAGGAGACTGACTGAGTTTCTGGTATCCTGATTATGCCTAGGGCTTTCCGCAACTACAAGACGTTGGTAGTGGAGTTTCTGATGCTGAATCAGAAGATCACACCAAGTATAGATTTTTAGTGATCTGTGACAGAATGTCAAACACATCCCCTTTTGAAAGCATAATGGATTTAGCAAATTCAGGTTTATTCAGGACCTGAAACCTGCTAATTACACTGTTACATGCATTACATGGTCCACTCAAAACAGGGACCTTGAAGCATCTGAATATAGATGTGGCTGTACCAGACTATCCTCTCTTCCCATCCATTATCTCTGCACAATGTATACTTTGAGACACCTACCCTTTGACGCCTCTGGCCTTCATTGTGCTAACCTGACAGACAAATAGTATTACATCAAACAATACTTAGCTGTTCCTAGAATGGAATTTTTAAAATATGGCAGAATAATGTGGCCAAAGTTATAAACCTATAGAATTACAGGATTAGAAGGGAACATAAGGGTCATCTACCCCCCTGCCAAGATGCAGGATTTGTTGCAATACAGATGGCTCTATCCACTGGAGGTTTTCAAAAGGAGGCTGAAGGAGGTTCCACAACCTCTCTAGGCAGTCTGTTTCATTGTCCTATTGGTCTTACAGTTAGGAAGTTTTTGCTGAGATTTAATCTAATTCGCTATTCTGTAGTTTTGAACCCATTGCATCTTGAACCTCAGTGGCAAGAGAAAACACCTTTTCTCCATCTTTTTATGGCAGCCTTTCAAGTATTTGAAGACCACTATCATGTAAATCTGTGATCTGATTTTATTGTATATCACTGGGTCTTTAGTAAACCATGCTAGCCATCTAAAATTGGTCATATACCAACATCCTTCCTCTATACACCTACTTCTACCCCTCATTTTCCAAAAGCAGGTTTAGAATAATTTTCTTTTGCTTTTATCAAATAATTCTTACATTGCTTATGGGCAAAATAAGTCTCTATATTTTTAAGTTGTAAACAAACCATTTTTCTCTTGGGAAATGCTGACTCAGTTGTGCCACATATCTCCCTTTATAAACGTGTGTAATAACTTTCTGTACTTACTGTGCTGATAAGATCCAGTTGCAATTCCTGTGGGGGTTCTGAAGAGCACACCAGTTAGCTGAGTCAACTGGGAAAGGACTTCCATCCCTGCCTCTGAAAAGATGCATTATTTTTTCTAGTTCATAAAATTCTGTATTATTTACATCACTAAAATATCACAGCCACTACAGGCCACTAGCCAATTCTTTTTCTCCATACTACTATTATTCATCTGAAACTAAAAGGAATCTAAACTTTTTTTCAAGGCTAGATGAAAATGTTGTGTCTTTGTGAATCAACAGTACTTTTTATGGTTTTTATCATATTATTCTGAAAACTCTGCTATATTTACCAACAGCATGAAAGATGTCCTGTGTATCTTAACAAAATGACACTGTGCAGGAACAATCACATCCACTAACATGGACAAAAAACTAGAAAAGTTGTTTTTGGCATGAGATCCCTAATGAAAAAAATAACTCCAGTTTCATTCTAATGTCAATGAAGAGACACACATTGTGAGTTTGTGCGGTCCCTGAGAAGAATAGAATGAATTAAAGATGCACCAGTTTTGAGGTGCATCTTATTCTTCTTCGAGTGCTTGCTCATATCCATTCCATTAGGTGTGTGCGCGCCGCGTGCAC